AAGGCCAAGCTCAGGGAGATAAACATTTTCTTAGCTCACCAGAACCGCGTGGGAGGAACAAGAAGATGAGGTTTTAGTCTGGGAAGATTCTTGCTAGAGGTTGTAGCTAATAAACATAGCTGGACTGAATTGGTATCGTCTCTTGGAGTTCCTTGGGCTAGGCCTGACAGTTACTTGATTCAGCACAGAAAGAGAAAATATTTTAGACAACAGTGAACTTCTGCCGGTGTCCAGATAAAATGGAAGGATTGGGGTAGTAAGGTATAGATCCAGTTGTGTGCTGGTACAACTGCCTTGGAATGCTCAGAAAGCTCTACAGTCTGGTGCTTCTCACCCCATCTTATATTTAGTCCCACCACTCACTTCCAAAGAATCTGGGTCCCAACATGATAGAAACAGAGTTATCTGTATTACATTCTTTCCTATAAGTGAAATGCTAGAGACTTAAGCTAACATTTCAGTGACTTCAGATGTGACCTACCTATACCGCTTCTGAATCCCACCTGTGGCGTGAGCACCACCTAGTTGAGAACCAGCCCCATAATACATGTATTGCTGGAAGTACAGGGCCAAATGGGAAACTCTACAGAGGACTGTGACTAGTCTTCACCTGCTGAATGAGGCTACCCTTGGAGACACACTGGCAACACCAGTGGACACAGGACACCACCACCAATTAAGTGGGGCAGCGACATGGTACCTCATAATGCCAATCCTTAAATGCTGTGCTGCTTGCCTGCCTGTTTGCAAGGTCCTGGGTCCCTTTTAAAGTGCTGACTTTACTCCTGAAAGCCTGAAGAGCCCCAGGGCTTCAAAGACCATGGGGTGAAGTGGGGTGGGGTGGGGTGGGGGGCATACTGTGCTACTGCAAGTTGGGAAGTATCATTCTTTTTTGAAACCCAGAGCATCTTATGTTCACAGGTTACTTATGCAGTACTTATGAAGGGTGGAGAACTAGGCTTTTTAAAAATGATTTTCACCATGTTAAAACTCTACTTATATTATCATAGACATGGCTTTCTTTTTTTTAAATACAGTAGAGTCTTGCTTATCCAATATAAACGGGCCAGCAGAACGTCAGATAAGCGAAAATGTCGGATAACACACAGTAACGATTGAATGCGGTAAAAAAAACAAACACACGATCTGCTGCGCCTGTTGCAATCGATTTTTGCGTTGCGGTGCCGCACCGTCAGGAGCAACAAGAAGGAGTACACTCACGCTCACAAACAAGCGGCACACTTTTCTCGTCGCCGATTTATGGGTGTTGTGTTTTTTTTAGGGGTGTCGGATAAGACAGAATGTCAGATAAGCGAAGGTCGGTTAAACGAGACTCTACTGTATAATTTTATTGAAAGTTTTAAAAACAAGAAGTAATACAAACCAAAATAGAGTAAGACAGAAAAAAGAAAAAGGAAGAAATAAAAGGGAAAACTAAAGTTCAAAAAGAAAAAAAAAGGAAAGGAAAAAAAGGTAGAAGAAAAATAGAAAAGAAAGAAAAAAGATGCGAAGAATCATAGGATCATAGGGTTGGAAGGGACCTTGGTGGTCTTCTAGTCCAAGTGGTTTCCAATCTTTTTTACAGCAGTTATAAGTATCGTACAATTATAAATTTACCTCTTTCTCTAAAGTTATATTGTGACTCTTTTCTTTCTATCCTGTCTAATCATCAAAACTGTTGTACACCACCCACTAGCTTGTGAGATAGGCGGCTGTATAAATTACACAAACAAACAAACCCAAAAATCATAAGTTCATTTTTTTCTGTTTTATGCAAAAAGTCCATAAGGCGTTTCCAGTCAACGATAAACGTAGATATTGTCTTTTCTCTAATCAGACAGATCAACCTGGCCATCTCAGCGAGTTCTGTCACCTTCACCAAATCATAGACACGGCTTTCGATGTTGCCTCGAAGGCAGGCTACGTTACCTAAGTGTATGTACGGAAACCTCAGAACAGGAAGGCCACCCAACATGCATTTCTCAGAGCTAACTGAAAAGGTTGCTGTTTCCAGGGAGTCCTGCAAGTTCCCAGGCTTGCTTTAAAATGGCATTGTCAGCCCTGAGAATCTCAGCGTGTTGACGTGGGACTTTGCTGCAAGCTAATTAAGCTTTTTCACCACCAGATCGTCACAGCTGTCCGGGCTCATTAAATCTCTATTCAGGCAACAATTGCCTCATACAGACTAAGAAAAATTCTCTTTGAAATGATAATTGGTATGCATCAAACAATTACTGGGCCAACTTTGTCTTGCATTCTGGCCTCCTGAAAATCCTCCCTTGTGGTAGCTCCATCTATCTAAGCTGGACATTCTTTTACAATGAATCACTTTCTATCCACCTCCGACTATCTGTTGGCATGTACAGTTTATTTCTTAATTCTGATCATCTTTTAAAATTATTTGAACACCCATGGACAGCTTTGCACAACACTTCCTCCCCTTTTGGCTAAAAAAACAAAACACACACACACACAAACACAAACACATGGAAGATTTTAGTTAGTTCGCACACTCACTTTGTGTAATTCCAACATCAGGCAATAATTTGTATTTGTGAAACCATCACTGAAAGAAGAAAAGCTAGAATCATCTCATTTCACCTCACATATTGGGTGAATTCAGCCTGTGTGAAAAGTTGTCTAAGGTTTAGGGTGCCATATGAACCCCAAAAATATTTTTCAGTGGAGACCCCTAAATGAAAGTTGATCAGCTGGTAAGAGTGTTTATGTATAAATCTAACCTAAAGAACTTCAATTTACTATTTCACATTATAGGACATATTTGCTTATGTGCCTTAATTTGCTTATATTTCTAAGAATGTAGTGGCTCACAAAACCCAAAGGAATCATATGTCATCACCAAATGTAAGCAACTTCACCATAAAAAAAAAAAAATATATGCGTATGTTTCCTGCACACATGATATACTCACACGTTCTGTGCATTGTTACTGCTTAGTAGACTTTGTGTAAAAAGTTTACCTGGGCCCAAAAGTCTTGATCCAGAGTTCCAGACCTCTGTTTCAGTAGCTTTTATAGACAAGAAACAAACATAGTTATTGATCAAAGTCACAATTTAATTTTAAGCTAATGGAATAAATATCACATCTTAAGAAATACATGAGATCAACTTTGTTGGAAAAATGTAAACGGTAGAGCATGTAAAACAAACCCTGCTTTAAGTTGATCTTAAGAGGCATTTGTGGCTGTCACAAAGATCCTTTGAGTTGTGACATGAACTTGGGAAGGCAGGTGAGGGGACTTCCTTCAACCATCTTCCGTTTGGGGGAGGGGGGACCCAGTTATCTCTTGATTAAATTCTTTGCTTATCCCATCTTCTCTCGATCTTTTGGACCAAAATAATATATTAGGGGAGGAGCAAAGAACTTTTTTGTTTCTGAGGGCCACCTTGCTAATGATCTATTGGAAGCCACTCAGCAGGACAACTGAGAGAAGGCAGAGCAATGAGGAAGAAGGGTCAGCCATTCCATCTCCTTCCGGCATCTTGTTTCTCTCTACTTCCCTCACCCAGCAACAGTTTGCCAGTGGAGGAACTAGATGATGTTGGTGGACTTGATTGGATGTATAGGATTTTGGAAATTAGGCCAAAGACTACAGAAAATTAAGCTGATATCTGCCTGTGGCATTCCTGTAGTAGGGGATCTTCTTCTGATCTTTGCCACTATCAGATCCCAGTACTGAGACACAATTGCAAAAAAATATGTGGCATGAAATATCAAAACTGCCTTTTTCTGATGATATGATAATCACAGAAATTAAATCATTTTGGAAAGATGCACCAGTGCTATGTGGGGACTTTTATCACATGGTAATCCCATAAATCAAGTGTTCTATTGTGAAAATATCTGGAAAGCTATTTAGTTTAACAGATGATTGATGCATTTATTTGCTTACATGCTTGGGAAGAAGACCAAGAAGAATTAGAAGCAGTAGACTAAAACTGGTAGGAAAGCTACAGACAGAAACAGAGGGATGCCTCATTTATTTTCTGTGCTGTTTTGCTAAATTGGGTAGCTTTATCTTCGTTCACATTTTCTACCACTCTCTTTCTTTTTTTTAATTGTTTGTGATTTCTGAATTGCTAGATATTTATAGAGAACTAACTGTGCAATAACTTGATTCTTCCATCTTATTCCCCAATACACATTTTGTTGTATTTAATAAAATAAAACTAATTCATTTATTGTTACTCCAGTGTTGGGTTTCATGCAGGATCATGGATGCCAAAATGGCTTGAGCCTGGACACTGAGGTTAAAACTTGGAGAAAACTGGAGCTGTTAGTGAGTCAGTGCTGGGGAAGAGGGTGTGCCTGTTCTGCCCCATCAGATTCCCGAGGAAGGGAAAAACAATTATTTATTAAATTTGTATCCCGTCTGATTCCCAAAACTCTGGGAGGCTCACATGCAAAAATGTGCAAAGTGGTATTGTATCTTCCCACTCAAGAACAGGTTGTTGCATCTTACCTACCTACATCATCATCATCATCATCATCATCACCATATTGATTAAGCCTGAGGCCATTATCAGAATACAAAATACAAGACAGTAATAAGAACATGCAAACAAAATAGAGTAAAAGGCAAAACTAAAAGAAAATACAAATCATATTTCATATGATTCTCGGCCTTTTGGCTAAGATCAAGGGTAGATTTGTGTAACATGTTTGTGATTGACAGCCTGCTGCAATATCTAATATGAAAAACATATTTCTTTGGACATTATCTATTTTTCTACGATACACACTGGTGAGAAATAGATAGTCCTTGAGTTGCAATCTATAAATCATTACATCATGTTATGTTTACATGATCTGATATGAGAGAAGTAAATTGTAGAGAGTAAGGAAGATGATCTTGATGGGAATATGTGAGAACTGTTACCTAGGGAAAAGGGTCTGAAATCTTTTTTAAGCTCTGAGGAACAAGATAATATTTGGAAGTATTTTAGGCAAATACCTCCCTGATTCACTGAGGTATAAGAAGAATGGGAGGTACAGTATCATTAAACTTGAATAAAGATTCTGTTATTATAGACAATCTCAGTATAGTTTTTGCTTTCCAATGGATTGATCCCCTGGCTGATCTATCCAGTGGGGCTGACGTAAATTGATTATGGGTTCCAATTCAAACCAAACTTTGGTTTAATGAGTGTGAGGTTTTCAATTATTAATTTAGAGGATACTTAGCGGGCAGCTACAAAATTACCTCAGTATTAAAATAGGAGCAATTAAGTTAAACCTATTTAAAGTTGGCTCGATCATACTAAATAATTAGGAAAACTATTTCCTAAGAAGTTGTAAGAAGGAACTTATTCTAAAGTAAGCATATTTAATTGGGATGTAGTTTTACTGTCAGGAATCTGAGTTCTTTCTAAGAACATCTTAAAAATAATAAAAAGCTTTACCAGTATTAGGATGAAGGATAGTTTTGTTACCTGTGTAGCCAGAAGTGCCTCTGAATGTTTTAAAATATTTTACTGATCAGTTAATAAACCTTAACGTTGTCTTAATTTAAATCCATTGAGTCTGCATTATTCTAAATTAAGATATACCTTGATTCTGGGTTCTTCCTTGTACAGCTTGAACTTGCCCTAAAATAGGAATTGAAATAGAATATCTTATTTGAAGTTTCCCAAACTTTTTTAAAAAGTAATTTTTAAAAGAATATTTGATTTTACTGCTTTGGGAGTTAACAATGCTTGTCCTAATCCAGTGTTTCTGGGAGTTGAAGTCCACATATCTTAAAGTTGCTAAGGTTGAAAAACACTGTCCTAATCCTTAAAGCTGATCTTCATTGTTCTATATCAGATATAACTGACATTTACAGTTTAAATTTAGAGAAAAATGATAAAATATTTCACTTAGCCTTGCTGCACAGAATTTAAAACTGGCTTAAGATTCATGACTTTTTCCAAGGGAATCCTGAGAAATATGCTGTCAAGCAGCGTTCCCCAACATGATCTCTCTAGATGTCTGGGAGCTGCCAGCCTCAGAATTCGTAATCAGTCCCAACGCTTCTGAGAAGTGCCAGATGGAAGAAGGCTGCGCTATGGAAACAGGAAGAAGAAAGTTCTATTGATGAACGCCCAGCCCTTTCCCCAAACTGCAGCTCTTCAAATGTTTAGCAAGCGTAATAAAGTTAATCAGGATTTATTCTGAATGATGCCTTCCCTGTGTAATCCCATGCATATTTACTCAGAAGTTAAGCCAACTGTGTTCATTTGGGTGGCTCCTACATAAGAATTCATACAATTCCATTTAACATCAGTAATGTACTTATATATAAGTCGGGTCAACAATTTCCTAACTTGCATAATGAAATGGGCCACAATTCAGAGTGGTACTGATAACCCCGATCCTCTGCCCCTTTTAAAGAGATGTAGCAACTCACCTGAACAACAACTAGAGGTGTAGTACAGGTAACTCTTATTCTGGTGTATTCTTATGCACTTACTATTTTGCCAAGCACTTGCAGTATAACTTTAAGAATTAGCACAAATAACAAAACAACAACCTTTTCTTTTAGATACAGCTTGTTGTTGTTCAGTTGTAAAGTCGTGTCCGACTCTTCGTGACCCCATGAACCACATCGCACCAGACCTTCCTGTCCTTCACTGCCTCCCTGAGTTTGCT